ATATAATAATATATAAAATATTTAATATTATATAATTATATAAATATATAATCAATTAGAAAGTATGTTTGGTATTCCAGAATATCAAAACTTTCTGGAGATATATCCTTATGAACTTTCTAGCTGATTTTAATGGAGTATCTGAACTTTAATAATTAACATGATAATGGTAATATATTTCAAAAAAAATATTTATATAGAGAACATCTATTTTCAAAACTTCTTCACAAGCGAAAGAGCTTTAGACTATTTGTCTAATAGGTTCCAATAAAAATCTTGAATCAAATATTTAAGAGATAAATATTTAAATTAATTATTCACAATAAAATAAAATAATAAATAAGTTTATTTTAAAAAACTTCTAAAATCTTATTAAAGAAACGCATTAAGTAATTTATTATTTTAATACCTGATCCTTTCCAAACAAAATAACTTCTAATAAAGTTCTTGCTGATCATTAATTAAAACAGAAATTTCAGGAATTTTATTTAAAAAAGAAACACCGAAATTCGAATCAGTAAATACTAATCACTTTGAATAATCAATCGAACCCTTTAGAGGATTCGTTGAAAATTAATCTCGATCCATCGAGCGCGTATAACATCGTTCTTTATTCATCTCTGGCCGACGAATATCCGGGAAACTGGGCCACAGAAACTCAATGGTCCTTCAATTCGGCCAAAGGACACGGCATCGTAATCCGTTGTGTTCCAAAGGGACTTAGTATACTTAATTCACAATGTTCACAATGACCTAAATATGTTTAGATTTACGTCACACGTGACGCACATATGATTTCTAACACCTTCAACCGTGTGCATCGTGACGTAATGTTGATTGATAAGGATCGATGTAGCTATTATTATCATCAAAGACACATCGTCTTTGATGCTTTTACGTCGAAACGAATGTTCATGATAAAAATATTGGGATTTTAGATGCAGACAATTAATGTGAAAAATTTAAGGAAAATGGTTATAAAGAATCTATAGAAATTCGAACTATTTGATTAGATATGATTACGTTGTAATTTTATGAAGTTTTGATATCGAAATTTTGATTTTGGGTATTTTGAGAATGAGTTATATAAAAGATAGAATACAGGAAGATTATAAAGTTTTTGACGTATTAACACATAATTTTACGTAATTCTTCATACTAAATAGAAAATATCTTTGTTAATATAAACAAATTTTATATAATATTATCATAAGAATAGAAAAATCTATAAACTATCATTATAATGTTACACAAGTTTATTATAGTGGTATCTAAAAATAACATTGATTAAATCAATGTTACAAGAAAGAAATATAAATCCATTTTATTTTATATTAATTATTTAATAATTATTATATTATCTTGAAATAATATTTTTTCCTAAAAATGTTCCATTTTTCATCAAATATTAAAAAATACTCTAATAGTAAAAAAAAAAGAGAAAAAAATGTTAATGAAATTTTTAATATTCTATATATATTTAAATGAAAAAGAATCTATGAATGTATTGCATAAAATTGAAAAAGCTTTCTCAAATCATAAAATAAACCCTTATAAACAAAGTATCTAACGTGTCCTACGCACCGTTCAAAGGCTACGTTTATTATTTCCGGCTATAAATCTGTTCCCAGTAAGGGTTCCTGAGCGCAAGATGACTAGAAATATAAATTTTTATTTTTATTTATTCCTTCATTTAACAAAGAGAATTTTAGTCAAACATTTACAAGAAATAATTGAAAGAAATACATTTTGGAAGATTAGAAATTTTATATCATAAAGTTGAGAAATTAATGGAAGGTGAAATACGTAAGGCAGTTTGAAAAAATTCTTAATTTTTTAAAATATCATTATCGATTAATGTTTCAAGTTATTCGATATTATTTTCGATATTATTTTTGTACCTTTATCAGTAAATAACTTCAACTTGTTATTAAAATAAAAATTACGTAAATTGCTATATTGTTGTTTGCTTTGTCCCATGAAAAATATTTAATTTATCTAAGTTTATTTGAAAATTTTTTTTTATTCCATTATGAAAATTAGATTAATCGAAATTTAAAAAATCGAAAGAAAATTCTAATATTTCGCGAAGAAAGAGTATTGCGTCTTTTCTCCTTTTTTAAAACGTCGTCTGTAAAGTGATAAATATGTTGAGTCCTTAGCAGACGGTAAAAATGTTATATGACTCCGCCTTTCAAAAATGGCACAGTAAAAGGGAGCAGCGCGATATCGTATCACATAAAATTCATAGATACGTTGAAATTTATTCGATACTTGGAATTCTTGAACACATACTTCGTATCCTGACCCAATTCCATTTTCGAGATAATTCTCTTTTTTTTATTTTATTTTTTTTTATTTTGATAAAGAGAGCAATGAAACAATCTATATCTTGAAGACAAAAGAAACGTAAAAACGTAAGATTTAAGATGCAAAAATGTAATAAAATAAAAAAAAATACAAAGATAATAAGTATAACATTTAAAAAAATAAAAATAAAAAGAATAAGAGAAAATCGTGTAAGAAAAGCTCCATAGATTTTTCGTTAAATAATCACCAATTAAAACGAAATTCATTAAACTCTCGATACAGGTTCAAAATGACCTATATTGAATCACGTTAATTAAGTCAATATTTATTTTTGATCGATCTCCATAATACAAATCATCATTCTCTGCCAATCTCTTCATAGAAATTAATCTGATCTTAAACTCTATGTAGAAAATTCTAATTTGAAATAAAAAATAAACTTTAATACAAAGTTTTTTTGTCTTATTAATATTATATTTCATAAAATAAATAAATGCATCTATTTAAAAACATACTTTGTAATTTATATTGTTTCATATTTAATAATAACTTTTGCATAAGTAATTTTAAATCAAGTAACGGTATAAAATACCAATCATTCCTTACTGAATCATAATCTGTGATGCTAAGGTTTATTATTATACATTCCTTTTTGGAAAGAAATTTACATTTATCTTATTTTGTAAAAAAACTAAATGAACTTCAACAATCAAAAGTTTTTTATCTTTGATAAGATTCTTAAAAAAAGTGCCTTACATAAGGAAACTTTGCATAAAGTCAAATATAACACACATAAAATTAAAACATAAATTATATATTCTCATTAGAATTGCATTTTTAAAAAGGATAAAATAAAAATATAATCAAAACGAGACTCTATATACGATAATTATAATATTAACATGAACAAAAATACTGAATTGTTGTAATAAATGAATTCGAATTACTTTAATAACAATATCCCTGTTCGTGCAATAGTCGTCCAAAGTTTGAAATATCGAGTCTCATATCGCGAGCAGAGAACGAATAAAAGTCAACAGGAAGAGTTATATTAGAATTCTTGTGTCGTTCATATTTAAGAGACTTCTAGAAAAACTAGTGCAAGTGGACAAAAACTTCCAGTTTGATAAAGTTTCGCGGGAACTCAGTTCACGTTTTTACTCGGAATGCCATCCCTCAGGATTAAGTTTCGAGGTAAAATCACTCTACACAAGTTTAGCAGGCTGCATCAGCAGCGCCCTCTATCCGGTTCGACCATCTTGCATTATGTACCATCTGGTATTCCAACACACTTTTCGTATTCTGCAGACGTACCAAGCTGCTCGTAAATTCAGATCAGCTCCCGTTAAATAACCAACAGACTTAAGATAGCTTCCTAAGTACGTCGCGTTGCGTTTTGTGCGTCAAGATATACCATATTTGATTGCGAGTAAGAGTTTGATGGCGCCAGGATCGCTGATAAAATGACCCTACATCTAATCCTAGATCAACATGATTTGAGTATTTATTCGAAGGCTCGTCAAACGAATGAGAAAAGATATTTTAAAAAGTATTTGAAAATTTGTAAATTGTACAATAATTAAGAAAATTTGAAAGTTTTTATTACAGCAATAAGGAAATGTGTTATAATAAATAATTTTTTCAATGGATATTTTTAAACACGATGATAATTTAGGGATTTATTTAATGATTTGTTGAATGATTATAGTAAATAGTGATTTTGGAATTTATTCAAAGATTTTTTGAATATTATAATATAATCTGAAATCTTGGTTGTGGAGGAAATTTGAAAATAAAGAACAGAAGTTAAATTAAGTTAAATTAAATTTTAGTTAAGAAAATTAAAAACTTTTGTAAGACGATAAAAGATGCAATAGTAGTGAAAATTGTAATTTAATACGAATAAAAAATACAAGAAATAAAATAAAAAAAATTAGGAATAGCAATTATGAACTTTAAATTGGATATTTTCCTTTCTAAATATTTACCATTCGTAAGCGTGAAATATTTAATACGTAGAATCATATTTCAATATTTAATGTAATTTTTATTGTGTACCATATTCTGAATAATATGTATCTATTTATTTTCATTCTAGATAGATTATTATAGATAGATATTATAGATAGATATTTTAATTCTAGATAGATTAACTCTAGTTAAAGATATGGAAAAAATTTTCTTTAAAATTTACATATGTGTTTAAATCTAAGTTAATAAGATTTGCCATTGCTAATTCTGCATTCTCTTATGAGAAACAATATCAATATGGAACAAATAATAATTCCAAATGTAATGTATT